TGATCCATGGGGACTCTCCCCTTCCCCCCACCACCCCCCTCCCCATTGGTGGAAGCTAAGTGGAGGGTGGAGAAGGACAGCTGGTCTCAGCTCAGTCCAAGGCAGAACCTTCCAACAGGGAGCAGCTCAGGCTGCCTTGGGGAAGTGGGCAGAGTCCATGAACCCAGCTGTCCCGAGCACTGCGGGGAGAGTCTGCCATGGGTGCTGGGTAGGGTTTTCCAGCCAGGCATCCCAGATGGAGGAAGTTCAGCCCAGGGTGAAAATCTGGTGCCCGTCTCCTCCTCCTCCTCCTCAAGTTGCTGCAATTGCAGACCCAGCATGAAAGAAAGTAAAAGTTGTAAAAGTAAATCAATCACTCAGTCATGTCCGATGCTTTGCGACCCCATGGACTGGAGCCCACCAGGCTCCTCTGTCCATAGGATTCTCCAGGCAAGAATACTGGAATGGGTAGCCATGCCCTTCTCCAGGGGATCTTCTCGGCTCGGATCAAAACCCAGGTCTCCTGCATTGCAGGCAGATTCTTTACCCCCTGGGCCACCAGGGAAGCCCTACTTGCGATGAATAGCTACTCTCTGTCTATGGCCTGTAGTACAAGGACCTGACTCACCCGTGCTCACCTCCTCCTTCCGTCGCTGTGGTATCAGTTTGCCTAGAATTCCCAGATTCTGACCTGGGACCACACACTCCTGCAGCCATTTCCCCGACCCCCAGGGTTTCTAGGTTTGGGCAAGTTCCCCAGTTTCTCTTTTACTGAAGTGCCAGGCCCCGAGCTAGCTTGGATCATCCTCTCTTAATCCCCAAAACAAGGCCATGAAGAAGCTCTATGACCCGCTCCCCCATTATTCAGACTAGGAAGACAGAGTTTCTAGTTGTGAATAATTTTAACGGTTTCATCTTTCACAGTAAGTTATCACTCTCTGGAGCTTTCCTAGTGGCCCAGACAGTAAAGAATATGCCTGCAATGGGGGAAACCCAGGTTCAGTCTCAGGGTTAGAAAGATCCCCTGGGGGAGGAAATGGCAACCCACTCCAGTATTCTTGCCTGGGAAATCCCATGGACAGAGGAGCCTGGCAGGCTGCAGTCCATGGGATTGAAAGAATCAGACACGACTGAGCAGAAATGACAGAAAGAGGCAGAGAGACAAAATGTAATTGTATAAATTCAATTGTGTGAATGATACTTGTAAATTCAGTTTAAGGCAAAGAGCAAAGTTTCCAGGGCTAGATGACCGAGGTTTGGATCTCCGCTCCACCACTTTGCAGAGCGTGTCCCCGGCAGGCCATCTACCCTGTCTTTGCCTTGATTCCTTCGATTAGAAAGTGCAGTTCGCAACTGTATTAACTTACAGGATTGTTATGAGTATTAAATGAGTCATGAGGTTTGAAAGAATTAATATTTTAAAAGCTTTGCAATCAGAGCCTGGCAAGTCATAAATGTGTATGAAATAAACCAAAGAAAAAATAACTATGTCATATGGATTTCCTTTCCCCCAAGAAGCTGGGAGTCATTTTGTCAGGTTTCAGAATAAATCCCACTGGAGATTAAAATTTTGAAACTAGATTAATCTTATCAGTGGTCCCTGGGATCTAATGCCTGCTGATCTGAGGCAGAGCTGATGTCACAGTAATAGGAATAACGTACACAGTAAACGTCACGCCCTTGAGTCATCCCCAAGCCATCCCCCATGTCCCCGGTCTGTGGAAAAATCATCTTCCATGACACTGGTTCCTCGTGTCCAAAGGTTGGGCACCACTGCCTTAGTTTCTAACCCATCTGTGTTTTTGTGTAGACGTTTTCTCAGATTAGACTGGAGCCTCCTAGAGACGGTGCTGCATGCTACTTTGTTGAAGATCTCTGAGGTTTAAGATTCTTTTGAAAAGTGCTGGACCCTAGAGGCAGGTGGGTTTGGTGGCTGTAGTTGGGGTTTCCGAGTTTTGACCAGGTTCCATAAATAGTTACCTCTTTGGCCTCAAAGGAAGTATTGTAGCCTCCTTGGCCTCAGTTTCTGCATCTGTCAAAGGGGGGTCCTAATAATAATAATAATAGTACTGACACTCACAGCATTATTGAGAGCCTCCCCACCAGGTCTTGCAGTGACCGGCACCTCCCACCACTGAGGACTCAGCTGTTCACGCCTCAGAGCATCCTTCCCCAACGACCCTGTTTAGACCACCACCCAGTCCAGTCCCTGCCTGTTGAATGTCTTCATTGTGGCCAGCAGATTGCCTGAGTGTAGGAGCATCAGCTGCCTGGTTGACAGCCGTGCCAGCTGTGCCTTCATCCATAGCACCTGGCACCTAGTAAGGTGTGCAGTAAAACCTGGACGAAGGAAGTTGGATGAGTTCACAGCTAGATCCCGAAAGACCAGGCAGGCCAATGGCAGTAAAGACCACCTCGTTGAGAAGGTACCAGCACTTCCTAGTGTCCAGGTACCTGAAAAAGCCTCTTAGGCATCTCAAAAGTAGTGAGAAACACTGAGCCAAGATGAGTTCTTTTCACGGTTATATTAATATCAGGAGCTCAGTGTTTGCCAGTCATTTATTGATTGGTTCTCACAGCACCCAGCACCGGGCTTGAGGAGGGAGGCCCTCAGGAGATCCATTAACAGGTCAGGAACAGAGGGTGGGGTCTTCTCCCACTGCTTATTCCCTTTGGAGGTGGGAGGGGCCGGTAAATAGCGCTCCTCTGCCCAGCCTGAGGTCTGGAGCAACCCAGGATTAAGACAAAAAAGCGAGGTAGCCAGAGAACACAGTGTCGCTGTTTATCACCAGTCCAAGTGACATCAGGGCATGTGGGCCGGCTAATGCTGATGGGTTTCCCACCTGCCCAGGGGCAGGCCAGCCTGGGTCCCTGCAGACCCAAGGCCCTCCTCCTCCTCCCTGGTAGAGAGCCGAGTTGGACGCAGGCTCTCCCTGGCCAGGGCTTTCGGTTCATTACATCACCCCATCCTCCCCACAGCCCTGGGAGAGAAGTGTCAATGTGTCCATTGCAGAGATCAGAAAACTGAGGCTGGAGATGTGGAGCTGGGGAGACCAGGAGGGAAGCTGTTGCAGTCAGCCAGGTGAGAGAGGAGGGTCGCTCAGACCAGAGGCGGGGGCCCTGGAGGGGAGTGGACAGACAGATGTTTGGGGCAGGGGCGGTAGGACCGAGTCATTGCTGCTGGGTAACTTGTGAGGTTTTGGGGGTTTTGTTGTTGTTTGCACTTTGGGAAGAATAGATGTGATGCTCCTGGCCAAAGACTATTGAGTGAATTAAGAATTCCACAGACAGCGCATCTGCACACGCCAGCGGAACTGAACTGGTGATGATGGCGCACTCTCCTTTGGGAGGGCCAGTGGGGGTGTGCACAGAGGGTCAGCTCCACGGGGCTGGGGTGGGGACGAGAGCAGAGATGCTGAGTCTGTAAGAGGCTTGTCAGCGGCAGGGGAACTCCGCATCCAGTAAGTAGAATGGAGCCTGAGATGCACTGCTTTGGAAGGATGTCTGCGGTCAGTTCATCACCAAATGAAAAGAAGATGTGCGGAATAATACCGACAGCCCCAGGCAGCAGAAGGCAGTGGTCGGAAGCCTGGGCTCTGGGGCTGCGCTGAGTTTGAACCCTGGCTCTGCCGCTTGGTAGCTGTGTCACCAGGAGCGAGTTCTGAACTTCTCTGTGCCTCAGATTCCTCATCTGGCGATGGGGATGATGACAATACTCACTCCCAATGGGCTGGTAGGTCTGAAAAGGAGTTGATGTGCATGCAGGGCTGAGCCCAGCACTTGGCTCCTAGCTGTTGTTGTTGAATTGCTAAGTTGTGTCTGACTCGTTTGTGACCCCATGGACTGTGTAGCCTGCCCCGCTCCTCTGTCCATGGGACTGTCCAGGCAAGAATGCTGGGGTGGGTTGCCATTTCCTTCTCCAGGGGATCTTCTCAAACCCAGGGATCGAACCCACATCTTCTACATCGGCAGGTGGGTTCTTTACTGCTGAACCACCAAGGAAGCCCCATTGGCTCCCAGCAGCACTCCATAAATGTCAGCTCCTGTTACCGTTAGATAGGTTCACCTACATTTATAGGCACGTCTCCCCATTTTCACCTCATACGTCAGCACTCAGAATTCTCCTCTTCCAGGAAGCCTTCCCTGAACACACCCCACCACAGCTGGGTTAGGAGCCTTCCCAGGACTCAGGTCTGCCACGCACATCTTACTGCTTATTACGACTGTCTCCCCATGGCTGTAAGCAGTCTGAAGACACGGGCTATGGCTTCCCCATTATAACCCTAGTGCCCATCACAGTGTCAGGGGCATAGTGGGCCCTTAAAAATACTTGTTGAATGATCAAATGAATGCGTGTGAGCAGGACTTTGAAACATGTTTTCAAGGGGTACAGATGTGAAGAAAGGACCTTCCTGGCAGAGGTGGGAAGCTACGAGTTCCAGAAAGAGCAGGTGGCCTAGTCAGGCCACAGCAAAACATGTGATTGGGGAGGGTAACAGAGACCAACTATGGTCAGCAAGGTGGGCAGAGGGGCATGAGAGCGGTCCCAGGGGTGGGCAGGGCCACCATGCCCCTCTCCCATTTTTACCCTGATCCCCCAGACTGACTTAGGTGCACTCACCATAATGTAAAGTCAGCAGCTCTTTCCCTGTCTCTTTCCATCCCCAGACAGTGAACTCCCCAGGAAATGGAAATATATGGTGTTCCCCCCTCTTTTTTCTAAAACTCTTGCCCACAAAGATAAGCTGTTCTTCATCCACCCCTGTTTCTTCTCTGTCACCTAGGGATACAGACAGATTGTGTTGTGTGTTCTGATGTCTGGATCCTAGTCAAAGTCACTCCGATTCTTGTGGGAGTTGATGATTTATAGCTTCTGCGCTTAATTGAACTGACTCTGCTTCCTTTTTATGGAGTTCTTGAATCACACCAGAAGCAAGAACTGCCTTCCAGTTCATTGCTGGGTCAGATAACGGCGCTGGTCTTTGACCAGTGGCCTGCAGAAGAACAAGTCCTCATTTAACCTCTTGGGACTGAACAGAATCTTTGCCAAACCCAAAGCCAGCAGCCGAGGCGTGGGAAGGAAGAGCTGGGGCTGGAGAGTTCGTGAGGACCATGCCCGGCTGTGTGCAGGGGACACTGCAGTAGGACAGACAGACACAGCCCTGGCTGTGCAGGGTGACGAAGACCCTGGCTGGATGAATAACAAAGCTGATCAGACGGGGAAGCATGGTGCTGCCAGAGGCTCAGAGAGGCACAGTGAATGGCCCAAGGTCACACAGCTCTTCTAGCTGAGCTGGGGTTTGAACTGAGACCCTTGGATCCCTCTCCCACGTGCTAGGCGGCCTCTCACAGTGAGATGCTAATTGCCTGAAGTGTTTCTGGAAATGGTTCAGCCTTAGGTAACCCTTCCAGTTCCTCTCTTGGGACCTTATGTTGCATATGTCCATTCAGTCTGTCGTGTGAATATAAAAAGTGGATATTTCTAGATGTTAGACCCTGGCCATACCCTTTCTCCTGAGTTCCAGGCTACATAGCAAAAATAAGTCTCAAAATAAAGCCTGGGGTTTCTGATCTGGAATGCTCACGGATACCCAGAGATGATGTCGGTTTCTTGCTGTTACAAACAGAAAAAGTCACACAGGCAAACAGGGAAGAAGAATCAAGGGAACATTTGAGTCTGCGGATAGGAGGGAAAGCTGGAGTGAGTTACAAGGATGGACACCCCAGGTTCGGGCTGGCGCAGGGCTGGGTTGCCCCATTGGTGCCGGGCTCTGAATCCACCAGCACACTGGGCTGGTTCTGAACCCCTGGGGCTTTCTCTGCATCCTTACTCACGCAGGGAAACCACGCTTTCTTCTGGCAACCGCTTTCTCCTCCCTTTGATCCCAGACAGCGAGCCGTGTGTCTCTCCACGCACTAACACTGCAGCTGGGAGCAGTCTCCACTTCTGTGCTTGTTGCTTTGCAGGGTGGCCCTTGTGCATCTTAAGGCCATCGGCCAACACGAGACAATGGTCTATTTGCTGCCTCATTTGGTCCTCTCAGCAGCTGGGTGCGGTGAGGACTGTTGTCCCCGTCCTAGAAATGAGGAGCCCAGAGTCACTCAACTAGAAGCGGAAGGACCAGGGCTTCCAAGCCCGGTCTGGCTCCCATGTCCCTCCTCCTCATCACATTTTGTTCAGGGGAAGTTAGAGCTGCAAGGGACTTTGGGAGATGCTGGGGAGAGGTGGTGAAGCCCCTCCTTTGGCGGGCAGCAAGGGACCAGGAGAGGGAGAGAGGGAGGGGGGAAGGCTGTAAGAATTGGCTCTGGAACCCTGCCCTGCTGACCTCTTTGGGCACCTCACTGGTTTCAGGCAGACCGTGCTCCTTCCAAGGCTCATCGCAGCAGATCCAGACCCTTAGCCAGTGTTCTGTTCATAGGCTGCCGATACGCTGCCCTCTCTACACTGCCCCTGGGTGCCTTTCACCCCCTACCCCCGCCCTCTCCCCCTCCCATCCATGCAGGACACCAGGCCCTTCCCCATACACACCTTGGGCTCCCTCATCACCGCGACTTTGCTGCCAATATACCCTGCTGCCTCCTCTGCCCACTCGAACCCTAAGTCCCCAATAATTTAATTATGAATTTTTTTTAATTGTGATAAAATATACATTGCAAAATAAGTGAGTCTCATGGAATATAAATTGTAATCTTAATAAAGCTTTTTTTAAACAAAAAAACGTTAAGAAGAGGGTTTGGGGGATGCCTATTTCAAGTTCCCCCTTCCAAGATGCCTCTTCCAGGAAACCTATCAGCAGAGTGCTTGGGACTAGAGATGTGTCCAATTAGCCTCAGTTAATGGAGGTTATTGTCTGGATATAGGAGAATGCAACAGGGCGGAAAGCAGTGTCACTACCATGCTGCCAAGCCCCACAGGGACTGGAGGGTCATGCGGGTCCCCTGGAGCCGTAACCCTGTCTTCTCTGTAGCCGTGACCCCTGCTTCCCACAGGTGACCGAGATCTCCACTCCTTGCGCTCCACTTTGGCTGTTCCTGCTTTGCCGCTAACTCCTCACTTGACTCCACTCCACCTTTCATTTATTCAGCAAACACTTATTGAGCACCTGTGTGCACCAGGCCCTTCTCCAGGCCCTTGGGGTTTGCCGCAGGAGAAAGCAGACAAAGCTGCCCACCCAGGTGGAGCCTGTTCTTCCTCCTGGCTTCTGCTGGCCCGTGACGTCTGTTGTCTCGTGGTTTCTATGGCTCCTAGCTCCTGCAGCCTCGTGGCTTTTGATTTCTGCCTCTGATTCCTACCAACTGCTGCTGCTTTGTATGTGTCACACTCAGCCTTTCCAGAGGGAATCTTAAATAGTTCAGTTAACCAGTACCCAGTTGTCCAAAAATTTTGCCCCGTGAAGGAGGGTCAAAGGCTCTTCTGGGCGGTGAGGGACAGGGATGAACAAGATAGACGTTCTTGGAACGTCCCTGGCAGTCCAGTGGTTAAGACTCTTGCCTTCCAATGCAGGAGGTGTGAGTTCAGTCCCAAGTCAGGGAACTAAGATTCCCCCCCGGGGCCACCGGCTGCAGCCAGGGGAAAAAAAAAAAAGCTTAAAAAAGAAACAAAATGTACAGTCCTGCCTTCCTAGGACCTATAGTCTAGTGGAGACCCAGGCAAGAGATACATCTGACAAATGCATATGACCTGAGTGTTAAGCAGTCACAGATAAACAGGGTGGGTGAGTGGGAGGGGTCATTTATATATGGTGGGAGAGATGGCATTTGAATCACGAGGAATTGAATCATGCTTGTGTCTGAAAGCATGTATCCTGGGCAGAGGGAACAGCAAGGGTCCTGGGCTGGAAGTGATTCAGAATGTTTTTGGAAGAATGTCCCGTGGCTGGAGCAGTGAACAAGGGTGAGTGTAGGGGATGAGGTCAGAGAGGTCATGAGTCCTTGGGTCAAGGGTCCTGATGTACCCTTACTGGCTAGTGTGAGGACCTGGCTTTGCTTGGGAAGACCTTGGGGGTCACTGGAGGGTTTGGGGCCTCCGATGACAGGATGAGGTGTGTGATGAGAAGCATCTCCCAGCCCGCTGTGCAGAGGAGATGGAAAGGATGAGGAACAGTTCCCCAGCGACTCCAAGGGAGGCTCACTGGCCTTCGAGCCAGGGCTGGGATGGCCAGGCCAGGGTGAAATGTGGACTCGCTGGGAGGAGTCAGCTTCCAGGTCTAGTCTGAAAGTAGAGCTGAGCGTAATGGGGGTGTGTCTCTGAGGCATTTCCCCCAGTCACCAGGTCGGTGGAAGTACCACACGATTTCTGCTCCTGGGGTGCTTGGCGTGGGTGTTGGTTGTCGTTCAGTCGCTCAGCCGTGTCCGACTCTTTGTGACCCCATGAACTGCAGCACGCCAGGCCTCCCTGTCCTTCACCATCTCCTGCAGTTTGCCCAAATTCACGCCCATTGCGTCAGTGACGCCATCCAACCTTCTCATCCTCTGTCGTCCCCTTCTCCTCCTGCCTTCAATCTTTCCCAGCATCAGGGTCTTTTCCAGTGAGCTCAGCATGGGTGCCACGGCCGGCTTTCCTGATCTGTAACAAGAGGAGGCTAAGTGTGTCTCCCTCCCAGGGTCCCTGGCAGCACGCAGGGCCCTCATGGGGCTCTTGGCCTGAAGTGGATGCCCAGCAGATGAGAGCTGTCGTCCTCAAGAGCACTGGGTCGGGGGCAGCATGCCAGGGGGAGTGCTGGGCCAATTTCCCCCAGTGCATCCGGGCAGCTGTGTCTCTCCTTGCCCAGGAACCTTGGGATGGGAGTCTCCCCATTTGGAAACAGAGGAGCAGACCCCTTTCCGAACCCCAGCCAAGAGCTCAGGGATTCTCCCAATCCACCTCAGTCCTCCCAGCCCCTTGGAGCAATGGGACTCACCACCCCATTTTTCAGAGTCTGGGAGAGGCGAAGGGATTCATCCAAGGGCCTGTGGGCCCCATGGCAGAGCTCCAGCCCGAGCAACTGAGCCCTGGCCAAGAGGAAAGACGTGAATAAAGGCCTGGACTTGGGATCCACGGAAACCTGAGTTCGAATCCTGGCTCTGCCACTGACTGGCTATACGACCCTGGGCATGGCCTTTCCTTGCCCTGTGCCTCAGTCGCCTCATCTGTAAAATGGGATAATAATGGGTTCCCTGCCTGACTGGGGTGAGGCGTGAGGGAGGCGATGGATACGAAGCCTTGGACGGGACCCGTGCGGAGTGGGCACTCATCTGCTGAGCGTCTCCTCTCACCCCTAGGCCTGCGTGTTTGCGGCTCCCGCCTGGCATTCGTGCCAGCATTTTGAAGTAGATGCCTCGTTGCCAGACGCTGCCATGGAAACCAAGGGATGGGGGAACAGGCAAGGTCCAGAGGAGGTGTGGAGGAGGGGACGTCCTTCCCACGGTCACCCTCTGACCCACCGCAGCTGTCTTGTTGTAGCGGGGGTGGGAATTGAGGCCCCCTGTCCCCATGGAGACAAAGGCCGCTGGGGTCCCCGCCCCACCGATGCTTTGTTCCTGTAGGGAGTGTGGGGTACACAGGGCCCTCCCACCTGTGGGGCCACGTGCAGGCACCCCCTGGGCCTCCCGAGGCCTGGGCCAGCTGGAGAGGGACGTGGCTCATTTCTACAATCCCTTGTCCCTCTGCCTGTCCCTCTTCAAGAGGCGATGCAGTCATTGTCTTCTTCTCTTTGAAAGAGCCTCCCCACCCCATCGCCATCAGGTCAAAGCCGATGGCACTTCTGGCTGCTTCCGAATACGTGTCAGAGGGAGATGCTCGCTGCCTTGCAGGCAGGGACAATTCTGGTCCCCCATCCCTGTGTCCTTCCACCCTTCCGCCTCCTCCTCTCCAGCTTGTGACCATTGTCAAGCTGGTCCCTCCCCCGTTTCGAATGCAAACCTCTAGCTTTGCAGCGCGAAGAGCTCAGCAGAGAGGCCCCTGCTCTTGATGTCATGCAGGGCTGTGTTGGGACCCCCATGTGCGTGGCCGCTTAGCTGCCGTTGACAACTCGCTGGTCCTGTGAGTCTCACGTTTCTTATCTGTTCAAGGGGGCTGATAGCTGAACCCGCATCACAGGATTCACTGAGTTAATCCAGGTGAGACATCCGCAGA